GGTAATTTGATGTCTCTAGGATGGGAAGTATTCAAACTCTTGATGAAATAATGAAATATTAATTGTGATAGCATGTGAATACCTATTCTTGGTAAAGTGTGCAATTGATAATGTTAGGTGTTGGATCTCCAGACATGCATTAATTTTTTGCCATTTACAATGTCATTTTTCATCATTTGGCATCAGGTTTTATACAAAAGCAGATGTGACAATCGTCTTAATGAGATCACAGAGAGGGTGTCTGCCGACAAACACGAGGTAACTTATTTTGTAATCTAGAATTGCTTTTGTTCTATTTTTCTTTTTGTGATGGCTATTATTGAACAAGATAGAACTTTTTGCATTACAGGTTGAAGCATTGGCAAGGAAGTACGAAGAGAAATATAGGCAGACCAGAGATGTGGCCTCTAGATTAACCCTTGAGGAGGCCACTTTTCGTGATATTCAGGTATTCGTTGATCTTCCTATGTTTGACAAATAGTCAATGGGTCACTTTGGCTCCATAACCATGTTTGAACGTCAATGTAAAATAGAATCTAATTTGTTTTATAGAATTTTGTTTGACATCAAATTTGGTTGAATTACTTGCAGGAAGGAAAGATGGAATTGTATCAGGCAATTGTGAAATTTGAATCAGGAGACACTACTGAGGGTGCCCTTCAGGTATATTCCTTTGTACCATATTTGATTAGCTAGAAACTGCATGAAACTTATTAATTAGCGCATGGTTTTTGTTGGCTTGTGCAGGAACGTGCTAATCATATTCAACTAGGTCTTGAGGAATTAGTGAAAAATGTAAACGAACGTTGCAAACAATATGGGTTGCGTTCTAAACCCACGTCACTGGTGGAGCTCCCATTTGGTATTTCCTCAGCTTAATTTATGGCATCTTTTATTATTATTATTATTATTATTATTATTATTTGCATCTTAATTGCATTTCTATGGATCCTTGCTGATTTGGTTGACTATTTAGTTTCTTTCTGCATCTGCATGCATCCTGACATCTTCTTGTCGAGAATTTTGATCCAAAGATTTTCTTCAGTTTTTCAATAGTAAATCTTCTTTGTTTAATCAAACTCTCAATTGTTACTGTTTCTATCTTATATTATTGCTATAACAAAGAAAAACTTATAGTCACTAGTGTTGAAAGAACCTAGCAAATTTTCATATATATAGTCTCAATTTCAGAAGATTATGTATGGACATCAAATTTGCTATATCCTATACTGGGAAAGAATATTCTCTTTTTCTGTTGATGCTGCTTTTATGTTGACTTACCTTTTTTACTGACTTTTCCCTAGGTTGGCAACCTGGAATCCAAGGAGGAGCAGCTGATTGGGATGAAGATTGGGATAAGTTCGAAGATGAAGGTATGTTAGGGTGCCTGTTGACCATAGTCAACGATGGACTTCCCTTGTTCTTATAAAATGCAACATTATAATATCTATTTTTTTGGTGACATGGAAAATGTATTATTATAAATGCTAAATAATAATGAGTGACATCTGATATGGCTTTTTCCTTGAGTAGTTCTGTCAATTGCATCATTATTATTTATAACATGATTTATTGCTTTGTGCTGCTTTCAGGTTTCACATTTGTTAAAGAGCTTACACTTGATGTGCAAAATGTCATAGCCCCTCCAAAACTAAAATCTTCATCAGTTCGAAAAGAAACAGCTTCCACAAATGAGAGTGCAAATCTGTCATCTGTGGCTGCTGATGCTAAATCAGGGAAAGTTTATAGTTCAATTGAACAAATCTCTGACAGGGACTCAGAAAATGACCAAAGTGAGAATGGGCTGGAAAAGAGTCCTTCTGATAGCCCAGCAGAAAATGGTGCAGTGGAGAACCAATCTCATGAATTCCTGGATTCCCAATCTGCTCATAGTAGTGGTGCTGATGGTTCACCCCATACCATAAAGATTAGTGGTGCTAATGGTTCACCCCATGCCATGAAGTTTGATGGTTCACCCCATGCTGAGGAAACTAGAAGGTTTGTGGTTGTGTGCCTTTTGATCCAACAGAGTTCTAAAACTTCTTTGTGTACTCTATTTCTTCTGGTTTTGCTTTCTAAGTGGTAACCTTCACATGATTGTGCTATAGGTTATATGTTTTTTCTCCCTTTTTGTCCTTTAATCCTTTGATGTGTTTCTTTTATGTTTCTGAACTTGTTAGTTATTTATACATGCAGTGACCAGGGTCGTGCTGAATCCATATTTTCTAGAGAGAAAAGTTTTGATGAACCTAGCTGGGGTAAATATGATATCCACTCTGATACAGACTCTCTTTGGGGCTTTGACAATGATTATTCCAAGGTATGTGGAGAATTATATTTGCACAGATGCATTTAATTTACCCTGGGGCACTTGTGGGAGATAAAGTTTAGGCAGTGTATATTTATGTTAATGATATCAAAAGAGTGGCATTATTTTTAATCCTATATCTAACCATCAATTTTCTTGGCTTCTATTTTTTTCAGTTTATATTTCTATCAAATGCAAATTGTCATTTTTATACATATCTTGGCCTTTTTCTATCTAACATTTGCTGTAGGTTTCATACTTCAACAAGGGACTTTGATCTTCCAACAGTATTAACTTTTTAGGGAAAATTCTGCAGTGAAAAGTCTTTTTAATTTAATTTTTTGTTCTAGAGACTAGATTAGAAGTTCTTTTTTGCTGAATTTTGACACTCTTGTTTGTCATTCTCTCCTATGCATGAACCATGGTTGAGTTGGTTGATAATTGCTTTTGAAGGTGCTTATTGTTAGATATGATGAATGTTACAATTGGCTTACACGTTTCATGCAGAACCTGGATCAACAGAGGCATGATAGCAATTCTTTATTTGGTCTTGGCGAATTCAACATAAAGCCTATAAAAATTCAGTCCTCCAACACAGATTTTGCATTACCAGGGAAGAACTCATTTAGTTTTGATGAGTCTGTTCCGAGCACACCTGCTTACACGGATAATATGTTCCAGGGGAAGAGCTTATCTAGTTTTGCAGATTCCATTCCCAGTACACCTGCCTATATTGATAACCTGTTCAATGGGAAAAGTCCATCAGTTTTTGTGGATTCTGTTCCGAGTACTCCTGCCTACTCAGATAACTTGTTTAAGGGGAAGGCCTCATCTATTTTTGCAGATTCTGTTCCTAGCACTCCTGCCCATCCAGATAACTTGTTCAAGGGGAGTAGCTCGTCCATTTTTGCTGATTCCATTCCAGGCACACCTGCTTATAGTTTTGGGAACTCCCAACGAGGGTTTGGTGAAGGGTCAGATGAGCACTCATTTGACAGCTTTTCGAGGTTTGATTCATTCAACACGCATGACAGTGGTTTCTCCCAAGGCCCCTCTCTTGCCAGGTTTGATTCCGTCCGCAGCTCAAGCGATTACGATCAGGGTCATGGGTTTCCATTACGCTTTGATTCATTTAACTCACGTGATGGACATGATGGCGGAGCATCCCAATCCCCACGGTACTTGGAACGGTTTGATTCTACGCGCAGCACCACAGACTTCAATCATAGTCATCGGTTCCCCTCATTTGATGACGCGGATCCATTTGGTTCAACTGGGCCATTCAGGACAACCCTAGAGAGTCAGACTCCCAGAAAAGATACAAATAATTGGAGTGCTTTTTAGTCAGGTAGGAAACATCTTGTATTATTGACCGTCTTCTTTTCATTTTAAGCCCGGCGTTTTTTCCCTTTCCGTGTGTGGCGGCCTGATTCTTTGATTAGTATATAGTAAGCATAAGGATTAACCATGCCCTGTATTTTTTGCCTGTGTGATTTTGCAAATATCTCTCTTCTTATAATCTGGTTGTTCTTTCTTTTCTTTTCTCTGTGTAGTATTTCCCCCATTTTGACAGTTTAGATGTGTAATATTTTCCCTTCCCAAATATCTACCATCTAGTGATAATGATTGTATTTTGATGTGGAATATAGAACCCAAATTTTTATCTCATCCGATATGCACTAGTGTTTTTGCCATTTTCCCCCCTTTTTGTACATTTGTTTCCGTTATTTCCTTCGTTCATGAATGGATCTATTGGATTTGAGAATTCAAGATGCGAAAACGATTGGTGTAAATAAACTGAAATATTGAAATGCAACTGAATCAATGGGTGGATTTCGAATTAGGTTTTTCATGCCAACATCTCTATCAAGACTGGGTTGAGGAGAGTCCCATTCGAGTATGGTACATGCTGCTTTTCACAAGGGACAATAAATCGCAAAAATTTGGCAACAGCAGAGCCACCAAGCTCAACTGCAAAAATCGCTGCTCATCTCGGTTAGAAGCAGTGCCTTTTCGAGCATAGAGAATTCAGTGGGTTAAAAATTATAGTCTTTTATGGTAGAAAACGTGAAACACGTGGATGTGTTAGTAGGTGGTGTCTCCAAAATCTCCTTGAAGATGTATCACTCAATTTACTTAAAGTAGGAAAGAGAGATTCTTGATGACTTTTATTACTTTAAATTCCATTGTGAGTTGATGAAAGAATATCGATTAAATAAATTATGAAATGTATCCCGATTAGATAGTTGTTGCAAAAACAATGGAACATTTTTGCACAAAAGGTTCATAAATAATTGTTTTGAAAGAATATTAAGGAGTTAAAATGTTAGTTTGTTGATCAAAATAAAAGAGAAAAATAAATGAAAAGAGAAGAAAAAGAATGTATGCCAAGAAAATTAAATGGTAGAAAAGAAGTGTGATGTTGCTGCAAAAGCATAAAAGTATAAAAGCATAAAAAATGAAATAAAAGATGAAGTATAAGACTAAATTTAAAAGAAGTTAGGAAAATAAATTTAGAGTAAAATACAGTAAATTGAATGACAAGAAACTAAATACATTAGTGCGATTAATCTATTAGTTTTGCTGATTATGCTTTTAGAAATTTGCAACAAATAAATGGCCTTGTTAATATTGTGGAAGCAATCATTGAATCTTATTCGGAAAGATTTACATTAATAACTTTTCAACAAACAAAATTCTTTCCAACATGAATGACGCGTGACTCTGTTCTATTTATTATAAAAATGAGTGTAAACATAGGTGAAAATGATCTAACAAGGAAGGAAAATAATTTAGAGAGATTTGTTTGTATAATTTTTTTTTTTGTATAATTTTAGGAAATTTACTTAAATGATTGACTGCTTTTATTTATTAAATTTTTTTATCTTGTGTCTTGAGTATAAAAAATAAGAGCATATTTATTGTATATTTTTGTACTTAATTTACATGAAGAATATAAATTTTAACTTTAATTTAATTAATTGTTAAATTAAAACTATTTACATGATAATAGTATTAAAGTAAAAGTTAATTTTTATTATTTTTTATATGAACTAATTATAAAAAAATATATTCATTATACTCTTAATTTATGCTTAACACATAGGTTAAACAAACTTTTATTTATTTAGAATATATGATATTAAATATATTCTTTTATTTAATGACATCAGAAAATTATAAAAAAAAAATTATATAAAAAATGTTATTTTTATTTCACCGAAAGGCAGTCGGCCTCCTTAGAGGACCTGATCACGGAAGCATCAGTGCAAATGTCGTTTTGCCCATAATTTGGTTTTTAGGCAATTTAAAATCTAATTTTGATACCGTTTGGTACTTGTTCCT